AAATTACGCGGTACATAAGAAAAAGCAGCATCAACTTAAAATAAACCTGAAAACAAAGTTACCTTTGCCTATTTTAAAATAGAATTAATCACCAGAACAATGTTTAAACACCGAAGCAAAAGATCAGAACTCATTTTCAAATACATGATAAATTCATACTACACTACCTACAACCAAACAACAACTCAAAAAATAAGCAACTAATAACACATAACCTAAATCTAATAAATTTTATTTCGAATAACAAAATTTAGAAAGAAAATAAACAAAAATAAACAAAAATGAAATATAAACGTATGAAATAAAAATAAATGAATAAAATAAAGAAACTCAAAGACACGAATGGAAATCATATAAAACATCATCCTTAAAGAAATAACTTTCTCTCTTCACCTGTGCCTGCAGTGGACTGCATATATGAGAGGGAGAGGGAGTGGGGAAGGGGAGAGGAAGAGAGAGACAGACTTCTCTAAGAGAATTAACACTTAGGTCTGATGATCGCTTAAATTGGCAATCAATCAATATTAATTTTTGTTCACACTTTTTTAATAGAGGCAGACAGTATGGAGCCGAGAATCAACAATGCAGGCTTCACGTTTCAATGTCATCTTCAGATCAAGTCCACTCTCCTCTCTCTCTCGCTCTCTCTACATATATATAATGATGAAAATGCTTTACTGCTATTTAGTATTCTCAGTTCTGCTCATAACTAACATTATTAGTAAGTTAAATTATCACTGATAAAAGAAAAGTAGGAATCGAAATAATATTACTTTGCTAGCCACTTTGCAGAAAAACCATTGACCGATGTCCTCAAAGAAAAAGCAAAATTCTTTGGAAACAAGAAGAAAAATTTCTGGTAGGACACATCAGTACATTTTAATCTCATTGTATTTTTATAAAAGAAAAGAGAAAGGCTACCATGTTGAACTCTTAGATATACAAAGCGGGCGGTAAACAGAGGAAAATCAAAGATGCTCATCAAAACTAAGTAGAAATTTCTCTAACTTTAAGGAGAAATTTTAACTAATGAGATATTGCGTTTTATGTGTTACACGACGCGATTACCAAGAGAACGCCGTTTTAATAAAGAATGAACTTACACATCCGAAGATGCATCGAAAGTGCCATGATCTACTACGATTAACCACTGGCCTATTTTCATTTATTTTCAGTTCTTAATAAGTTCGTGCTGAAACGATTTGGGATAGAAAGGCCATGAAAAATAAGTGGAAATTAATTTCTGTACAAGTTAAAGTAAAAGCCATTTAAACGGTTAAACTGAATCACGTTTCGTCTCGTTAAGGTATTTTTTTTTCTTGTAAAATAAATTTCAAAACTAAATCGAAGAGCACGATGCTCTTTCAAACTATTTTGTTCGAGATACACTTATTGCTACAATGGCGACTTGGACTATTGGTGACCTTCGACCTTCATCAATTATAGGTTTTAGTGCTTCAACAGAGACTAATCACATAAAAACTGACAGTATCACACAAGGAGGTTTTTTAACTAAATGAACAACTTCCAAATTAATTTATATTTATTACCATGAGAAATATTTGAGGTTTTCCTCGGAAAAAGAAACCCTCTGTCTATTTAAGTTAGCAGAAACAACATATTTAATAGGTTAGTTTAGGGCAGAGCCATAGAAATATGTTTTGGATGAGCCATCCTAATTAATAAAGAAGTAATTAATTAGTTGCAGCTTTATTTTATATAATTAATTAGAAGATTATTTCTCTCTGGAATTTAAGGAAAAATTTAGATAACGAGAAGGAAAGTAACTTAAACGCACAACAAAAATAATACTGGTTACAATCTAATCATTTTTTAATTTTTATCTTGCAGATAAATGAATAATCTACATAACAATTGTTTATCTTCTTCAGTTCTTAAACAGGAAAGCATTTTCAAGTATATATATATATACAGATTGAGAGATGACTCAAATAAAAAGATATGACCAACCATACATGAGTGTGATTACGTCCATATATATTTGCAATTAAATATTTAATTTTTGGTGTAATCAAAACAGTGCTCAGAGCTATAAAATATATATTACTAAATATACATATAACCTACGTCACTTGTACGACTCAGACTTTCAAGTGTGTACAATCGTCAGGTACTCGTAGATGTGAACTTTTCAATGCCGTTGTTTTAAACATTTTTGGGGTCTCATGGGAGCAACATTATATTTTATATTGATTCGACGTTTAAAATTATTATAATTGTAATTTAATATTGGAGTATAAATGCAACAAATTAGACTGCTAGTTTATTTATATTTTAACATTTATTTTTGCTCTATTTTATTTTATTACCCACACACTATATTGTTTTGCATTTATATCCCAACATTAAATTACAATTATAATAATTTTGAATTAATATACAGTATAGCGTTGCTCCCATGAGAGCCAGAATTTAAAAAAAAAAAAAACGTATTAGTACCTGACAATTGTACACACAAGAAAGTCAAAGCGGTACAACTGACGTCAGTAATATGTATAGTTATTAATATATATATATATATATATATATATATATATATATATATATATATATATATATATATATATGTGTGTGTGTGTGTGTGTGTGTGTGTAAACTGTGCCCAAATAAGTCCAAGATGAAAATATTCTGAAGAAATCAATCTTGTAGATAACGAATATTTAATGCAATACATATTAGTCGTTGTCGACTTTGTTAATATTTCGTTCTTTTATTTACATCATTTATCAAATGTTTTAAAAATTGTCCGATATTCTACCTTATATTTGATTGTATTCATTTTGTCTGAATTTCTGCGACGAGAAGGTACATTCGGATTGATATCCTCATCTTTGTTGTTATTATCAAAAATTTCTCAGCCGTTGTGTTTTCCAGCTTTCTTCATAGGCAAACCAGAGAGAATTTCGAATTTTATTTCATCTACGGGGTATAGATTGTTCTCTTTCTGTTGCCCTGTCTTGTGATATCTCGCCGGCTTCTTATTTCATATTTCTCACATTATTTCCACTAAATCTGTACTACTTGACCCAAAGACAGGAGTATCGACAATTTTATCGACATATACCTGACAAAGGTTACGCAAAGTTATGATAACAACAAAGATGAGGATATTAGCAAATAACGTAAATTTTGATTGTATTACTATACTGACTATATACTATTATTAACCATTTCAAATTCTACAACCAGGCAAAGAATTTGCTGTTTGATTTTAGATCAACTGTAGAAGCATCTGCATATAACCTTTTTTTTTTAATATTAATTACCTTTTATTTATGTTTTTAGAGTGATTTTCAAACATTTTAATACTGAACTTTTATATTGTATCTACTTGACAAGAAATATTTATATTTTCATAACTAGTGACAGCTTTGAAATTAATAACTATAATCATGACTTAAGTCTTCTATATTTTCAAAGAATAATAGCAAAATTAATCATAACTATAATTTATAAAATTATAGGTTATATGATTAATGTTGCTTTATCGAATCACATGATGTTATTTTCTTCGATATCTGAAATCATTGCTTCAAAACTATTCAGAGGTTCAAAACTAGGCGTACTGCTGTTTAAACACCAGAATCAGTAGAAAACAAATGATCTTCATTTTTTTAAATACTTAGAATACTTGAAAAAAAAAGAAGGTAAACAAGAACTTTTCATTTAATTTACTGAAGACGTTTTGGTTTAAATCAGTTCTTTAATACAAACAAATGAATCTTTTTATTAGAATTGACAAAGCAGCAGAGCTACAGTATCTCATTTTGTATTTTTAAAAATTAGTGTAATTTTCCCAGGAATGGAAAATGATAGAAATATTTTTCACGCGGTTTCCTTTGATGTCTCTTCATGCACATTGAAAGCATTTATTCCATTCATTTACGAGCATAAATTTCCATCATCTCATATTACACTTTTCTTGAAAACTGTATGCATACCTTTTTTATGTATATTAAATATTTGTTGACAAAATTAGTATTTTCAGGATTGTACAGCTTCATACTGTTTTATTGCGAATAATTTAAAAAATGCATTTGTAAAATATAAGGAAGGAAATAAATTTAATGGCTGATATTTTTGTACTAAATTAATGTTCCTCAAGCCACGAGAAAGAAAAATGGGAAGTAAAGATAAAAGTGGAATTGGTTCATTTATACTCAACGAGTCTGCAAGAGTTTTTGTTATTCTTTTTTTATAACTAAGGGATATTTTACAAAAGGGTTTTAGAGTTCTTTTCACTTTAGTGTTTTGCCTGCAGTACGTCAGCATACGAGAATCTGTTCGGAGAGTCACAACATGCAGTCTTTATTTTTATACATTTCTCATGAATTAATAATTTTTCAAGCTATGCTGACAAGCTATTTATCGCTTTTCTGAACTAAACCAAAGAAGGCATTGGCAAAGAACAGAATGATATGAAAACGTACAGGCCAGTAAAGATTTCTCACAAAACTAATTAATCTATATAAGAAAAAAGGGAGGTTAACGAAATTTATAAATGTTATTGTATATCTGTAAAAGCGCTCAACATGATGCACTTACAAAATCATGTCTACCGGTTCTAGTTATTTTCTGGTTTTAGCTAAAAGACGTGAAGAACAATTAAGACGTGACATAATAACAGAAAATCGAAAATTGATTTGCTTTAATTAGAAAAATCGATTTAGTTTAATGAAGATTCCCCTTTTTGCTTTTTATCCTTTTTCTCTCCTGACCCCGTTCCAAAGATCCAAACGAAAAAGATATAAGTAATTTGGAAATAAAAAAAGTCTTTTGCTATTTCAGACACCATGTTTTTTATCACCTTTCGCTTCTGTAATTTCATCCCTTCGAACAAATATTTTAACAAAAGTTTTCCTGCGTACATAACAACCATCATATCTCATTTGTGTTATTATAATTTCAACAATAATAATAAAACAGTTTTTGAGTTAGTAATATTGGTAATAACATGTGCAAACCGTGGGTGTTCAGCATCAGTTATAGCTGTGAGCATGTGTGTAAGGAACGATAACCAGACTGGTGAGGATGGTAATGCCCATAATAACACCGTAGATAAAAAATGAGAATTTATCAACAACTTCTGCACAATAGTACCACTCATATTTTCGCCTGGTCAGTGACACAATGCCCATATTGGTTACACTGTCTGTGTCATAGCTTGACCGGTAGTCAGTTGGGTAGCAGCAGATCTTCCTTTTCGGGGCCGTGTCTCCGTCATGTGAACATTTGTCATATTCAGGGCAAGTTGGAAAGTCTGTAGTATCGGCCTCGGTCATCTCGAGCAGGTCACTGAGGGATTCCGCTAGAATCCTTGATCCACGCATCTCATCACACGAGACGATCGGATGCTGCCAGTCTCGCAGTCTGGTAATTGTGAACTTACTCAAGCATGTCTTGCACACCCACAGCAGGCACGGGGGAACCTTAGGGCAGAGTTTCTCATCGGCATGTTTTCGTATATTCATCACCACTGTCGCCATGATCAGGGAAACACAGTTTAATGTCATCACAAGGATCAAAAAGACTCCTGAAAAGAAAAGAAAGAAATATAAAAGTAAATGAGCAAAGAAAGGGTTATCAAAAGTTACAAACGTTTACAACTTCTATACATTTATTTACACAGAAAACCAGGAAAAGGGTACAAAATACAGGAAATAGTAAAGAAAAAACTATTTATGTTATTCCTCATCTTTATTGTCATATTCAGGACGTTTCGGACGTTGTACGTTCCGGTCTTCTTCAGGTGTTATACGTTGGAATTTTGAACCGAAATACTTATTTCGTTAATTATTCTGTAGATTATGCCATGCAATTTCTGGATATCTGTTTCAGTTATTTCCATTTAGTAACTCAACTCCTTAACTCTGACCAGGTATTGAACTCACAACTCTTTGTGTCAAATCACCGGATTACTTTAACCAACGCTTTTATCCATTGGGCCATGTGTCCTTGGGTCATCAGTATGATCTTTTTGAGAAATAACAAACTGAAATATCCAGAAAATGCATGACGCTAGGAACAAAAACAGTCTATCACGGTGGACGAAAAGGGTTCGATTCGAAATCCCAACGTATATCACCTGCATAAGGCTGGAGCGTATAACGGACGAAACGTCGTGAATATGACAATAAAGATGAGGACAACAGTCTGAATCATGTAAATAGTTACAGTGCCTCATCTCAGAAATATAGACAGAAAAAAATAATTAACGAAGACGTTTAGTTGGTCTTCAACCAATCCTTTTATATTAGTCATAAATTAATTGTTATTTTTCCTTACAACTGAGCATATATTCAATGGATAGTTACACATTGACGAACATTTCTAACATTGAACAATCAAGTTTATTATAAGTACTCATCTCATCCCACCCTTTTACTGTTGAAATAGGTAAACGCAACCACTACTTCTACTCCAACAATTTCTTTTCTCGCACTTTCCGCTTGTGGAACTCCCTTCAAATTCGTTGCTTCTCTGATAACTACAATCTTCAAATATTTAAATACAACGTCGGTCGCCATCTTCTATCTTCGTGAACCCCGTTCAATATTTTGTCCATTTCTCAATCCTCTTTATACTCAGTCAGTTTTCTCACTTTCACTCCCTATAGCGCTTGTGTACTAGTGTCATTCCCGCCTTGCATGAATAACGGTGTATTAACTTGATATATAATTTTGAATGTTTCGCTGTTAAACAATGGTCAGTAAATTTTAATCGATGATCACTATTGCTGTATTTGTGATCGGGTTCATCCTTGTCGGGTGCACCACACTTGTTACCATGTTGCAGAATAAGCTAAGTAAGTAATAATAAACATCTTGAAGCAGTTACAATAGTCTCAAATAACCCTATGCCGGATTCGGATGGAAATAACATGCTAAAATCAGAAGATACTCTACCACAACCAGTATCCAGTGCTTCAACTGAAGGGGCTGAGCTAGGAACATGTAATTCCTCTAGCTCAAACACTGCAAAAATGTCCCCCAGTCCTGTAAGACGCTCTAAGCGTATCACGAAAGAATCTAAACTACTCGGTATTGAACACTAAAAAGAAATTAATTTGATTATTATTATTTTTTTTTTTTGTAAAAACCGCATTCCCTTTCTTTTCAAAATTCGAAATTTATATTGTCAAAAGAAGTGGTGGAGAATGTTGTATTCATATGCAATTCTCCGCCATATAAATAGCGGTTGGTACAACTTGTGGCTAAACTAATCCTGACCTCAAAGACTAAACTACTTGTGAAATAGTAGTGAATACATCTAATTATAGTCTACAACAATAGGTACATAGTATTGGTTTGCAGATTTTTATTTAATACAGATTTAATTTTGAATCTTCAAGGATTAAACTTAATATTGCTGGATGATGAAACTTTCACATTAATAATATTCCATTAGTCAATATTGTTAAATTTGCTTGCATATAGTTTGGGATATTTCCTAATAAGAGGCTTTCTGTTATACACAAAGAGTGGAGCATTGGATCAGATTCACTTCACAAACGAATGGTTTAGCGTGATTAAATTTTTAACCATGGCTTTACGACCTATACTTCATTTAATCTTACACAATGATTTTGAGTCTGAGGTATCAATGAAGATCAAACTCGCTGCAGTATTAACGACGTGGGATCAGATTGCTAAGCATTGTTCTACGGTGTGCAGAAAGCATGCTCTTAAATGTTACTGCGTGTAACTATCAGCTTGAAATAGATGCGTATGCACTCATATATAACAAATGGGGGAGGCAAGATTTTACAGTTATTATTAATATGAGGGCGTTTCTACAAATGCTATTAATAATCAAGCGAGAGGCATAAGGAAGCTGAAATCAATTTCAGCTGAGCTAAATTCAATTTAAATATTTAATTCTCTCGATGCTGTTTACAGTAGAGCACAGAAATACGATTTGTTTTTAATCATCGCCACAGAGCAATCATGAGCAAGCGAGATTAGCAAAGTTTTACTACCGCAGTGAGTTCGGACCTCACAAAGTGTTTCCTTACCGTGCACTTGTCCTATGCGGAGATGAGATTATTAAAGGTTCGTTATATAATCGTGTTTCTATAAGAGTTATATTTAGTTGGTACATATATCTAAAAATACACACCTATGAAATTAAAGTTTACCGGTCTAGATATCGAGAAGTCTAACTAAAGAAGATATAATCTCCTGAGAGGAATCGAACCTGTATCTAATTTCTCACTCTGGAAAAACCATTTTAACCCAGTTGCGTCCTACCAATTACCAGTACTTTTTTCTTTGCCCCGCTGTGTTACACAGTCTTTTCTTTGTATGTACATCATAAAATTCCCTTAATTTTCGTAATGGTAATATTAGCCGTTTCCTTATTAGAAAAATTTAGGCATTGATTGACCAAGAGGACAGTACTGTTGTCGTTGGAAATTTATAAAATTTTTCTCTTAAAAGAATTTTTGTGGAAAATGGTTTCTCAAGTCAGTAACTGTTATCTCCTTTTCCAGTATTAACCTTTTATTTGAAGTGTGGAACGCATAAAATCTTGATTATGTCACTATTTTCTCTTCAAGTAAATGCGCTATCCAGTTTATTGCTTGCTGCTGTTGATATTCCTCTTGTCTTTAAGAATATTAATTCTAAGAATGTTGTTGATCACCTCAATAGGGACAACCTATTGAGCGACAAGCAGTACGGATTTCGGTCGGCTCAGTCCACTGCAGATATCGTAACTGCCATTACTCACAAAATGAGTGAGATACTAGGAAATAAATACATCTCCAAGACGATCGCATTAGATATAACGAAGGACTGTGACATATAGAGCAAAGTGCAGCATGCTTTTATCTATGAAACGGGTAGGTCCGTGAAAGTAATTCCTAACGGCCAATCCTCCGAGGCTCAGTTAAACTCTTTCTCTACTTTATATAAATGATCTGCCCAAGAGTATGCTCAGATCTTTTGTGAATGTCTATGCTTATAATACAATGGATATGAGTGTAATTCTAGATGACTAGAATCTGGTAGCACCTATGATCTCGCTTTAAGGGCTCAGTGGGGAAAAAATGGTGGTCACATTCAGCGCCTCGGAAACCAAACAAGTAACGTTCCATTATCAACACGCGGACGGTGAATTTTCACCTATCCCGATGAATAGATGTTTTTTTCAACGAACCCCTTCTCTTACTTGAGCGCCAATTACGACTTAAGCTCAACCCAGTCTTCAAGTAGAACCCGTACGTACGATGTATCTCTAAAGATGCCGGAAGAATAGTCAGTTCCATATACCGATCTAGTAAGTAGCTGACATCTGATACCTACCTTTACAAAAGTCAGATAAGAGAAAAATAGAGTGCTGTTGTCATATATGGACAGGAACTGCCGAGTTCTCGCTTTCTCGTTTCAAAAGCTTCTCCACGGCTCTGTTGGTGATGAATTATTTTTCTTTCTACAACCCTTTTTCCCACTGACGAAATATTGCTAGCATCTCGCTACCCTATCGCTAGATTTCCATGGAAATTGTTCAGGCCAACTACGTTGTAAAATTCATGGATGAGACACGCCAAGCCACGAACATTATGGCGATCCACTCTCATTCCCTTCGAATTCCGTTGGTGACCGGTATGCTCCAATCGAAAAACTTCCCAAGAACGGCTCTTTTAGTGCATTATTAAACTATATATTTTTTCGATTTTCAATTCAGCATCGAATAAATAAGGATCGAACTCACTACACAGTCGTAATTGATCTAGCGAGAAGTACCCAAGTGATTTACTAAGCGAAACATAGGGTGAACGTATGTGGCATGCAGTGAAGATGGAACTCACTACACAGTCGTAATTGATCTAGCGAGACAAACCTTATAACCATTACATCACGTCGAAGTACCCAAGTGATTTATTAAGCGAAGCATAGGGTGAAAGTATGTGGCATGCAGTGAAGATGGAACTCACTACACAGTCGTAAATAATCTAGCGAGACAGACCTAGTAACCATTACATCACGTCGAAGTACCCAAATGATTTACTAAGCTTTGAAACATAAGGTCGAACGTATGGAGCATGCAGTGAAGATGGAACTCATTACACAGTCGTAATTGATCTAGCGAGACAAATCTTTTAACCATTACATCACGTCGAAGTGCCCAAATGATTTATTAAGAGCTTTTGAAGCATAGGGTGAAAGTATGTGGCATGCAGTGAAGATGGAACTCACTACACTGTCATAATTGATCTAGCGAGACAAACCTATTAACCATTACACCACGTCGAAGTACCCAAGTGCTTTACTAAGCGAAGCATAGGGTGAAAGTATGTGGCATGCAGTGAAGATGGAACTCAATACACAGTCGTAATTGATCTAGCGAGACAAACCTTTTAACCATTACATCACGTCGAAGTGCCGAAATGATTTACTAAACGAAGCATACAAGGTCGAAAATATGGAGCATGCAGTGAAGATGGAACTCAATACACAGTCGTAATTGATCTAGCGAGACAAACCTAGTAACCATTACATCACGTCGATGTACCCACTACACAGTGATTTA